CTCTTTGGTTTCTTATTCTAATGCTATTTGCTGTTCCTATTAACTTTTCACCTAAATTCTGGCATTGCTAACATCTTTTGTTTATTGAAAGCTTTGTGCTTATTTTGCTTTTAATCAATATTTTTTAATATTTTCTTTGGTTTCAGTTTTTGGGTTTTTGTTTTTCTGTTTGTTTGTTTTTCTGTTTGTTTATTTTTCTGTTTGTTTATTTTTCTGTTTGTTTTCTGTTTGTTTGTTTTTTGTTTGTTTTTCGTACACTTTTCAGCGTTGCCTTTAGACATGCTTTTTGAATTTAACAAGCTTATTAGTTATATTTCATCTTTGAATTAATACTTTCATCAAAATTGCTGAGTTTTGTTGAAATTATTTCCATTTCAGACTGACATCCTTATCCTTGTTACTACACTTACAATAATTCAGTCATTGTACCCTCATGCCTTCTTCACATGTCTATCAATCTGGATATCCACCCTGAACCCTTTATTCAATCTATGGTGGTAAAATGTTCTCATTCCACTTGTCCATGTTAAGGGATATATTGTTTTGTTAATTATACTTGGTTATTGCTAGTCTTGTTTCTACTGAGTTTGAATACATTTGTACTACCCTGGATTTGAATTGGATTTACAATGCTACCAAATTTACTAACCAACATATTAATCCTCTAATGAGACAAAGTTGAAGCAAGATTTTTTAGTCTTAAATCTTATCTGATTTCTTCTTCTGCTGCTGCTGTTAAGCCTGACACCCTCTGCTGCTGATTCTTTTTTTTTTTTTTTATTCTTCCTAATTTTTTTCTTGCCCCCAGTATTATTAGGTACTGGTATTTCAGATGCATGTTCTTCCTTAATTAATGGCTGCTATATTGTATTTATATATCTATACTAGGCCCTACTGAGAAGGCTACCATAACCAAATACATGCAACAATTCATTCAGGCATCTGATTCTACAGTGTTTTTTCTGATATTTTTACATCATTCCATAGTAGTTGGTGACCCCTCTTTTCACTCCATACATAATCAACCATGCCTTATTTCATTCTCCCCGCTAAGCTTTTCAATGTTATTCCAACTTTTTAGGAGTCAGCTAGTTTTGATTTTGTATTTTTTGCCATAACTTTTTGCAAAGTTCTTGGTCAGTCTTAGGTTTGATACTGCAGAGATTTCTCCATGGAATTGAGCTGCTTCTGAATATTCTCATGTTATAATATGGACTAAAGATTTTCTAAATCCTTCATGCCCTTAATGCAAAAGACAGATCATGGCAGTTTTCATCCCAAAATTTTGTCTCCACCTATAGAAGTTTGGTGCTAGTTAGTCTAGTATACAGATATCTTGTACCCATTTTCACTGCAAGTTATTTGTACATCCAGAAAAGGTTAATTGATATTTGTCTTCAAAATATCCATATATATCACAAGCCAACCATCACTGGACAATAACTGAAGTTCTATTCCCACCACCTATACAGCATTGAAATAAAAGATATTGTCTGATGCCTACAGCATCATACAAAAGAAGTGGTAACCCAGACACATCCTAAGAGTAGGCACTCGGTATCAAAAATATACTTCAGAGTAACGTCTACCAATAAAGTAGACACTCAACCTCTACAGTAGATACACCTAGCATAGATATAAATACTAATGGCAGCTATTATTTAAAAAAGAAAAAGAACGAACTTCAACAGCAGCAACTAATAACACTGGGAATGGTAAAAAAGACTTCAGTGGCAAAAGGAATACAACACAAAAGAAAGAATGGTTGCAGAGGGAGTCAAGCTTGACAGCAGCAGATGAGGCAAGAATAACATTAGGTTTAAGCCTCAAAGTTTTAGCTTCAAGATTGTTCCAATGTGACAATACCTTAGAGGTTAGTGAATTTGGTGATATAATATTTCAGTCCTATCTGAGCTAGGTAGTACAGACATATTCAAATATGGTGGGAAAATGATTAGCAATAACTAAGCCAAACTAAAAGGATGATTACTTAAAATAAGCTATCCCTTGACATGGACAATGGAATGAGAACAACCTTCCCCATTAACTGGATAAAGGGTTTGGCAAGAAACTCCCTTGAGATTACCTGAATAAACAGAGACCTGAAAGGTCTCTAGGACACATTAGCTGAAACATTGTGGTAGTAACAAAAAAAATGACTTAGTTCAAATGTAAATAATGATAATGTCCCATCCCAGAAATTCAGACATCAATGAGTTGAGATTATTGACAACTTAATGCCAAAAAGAAAAAAACCTTGAGATATTTAAAAAGATTTGGCTTAAATTCTGAATACTATATACAACTATTTTAAAAATGTTTGAACAATTTGTATCATTTAGTAAACTGTTTTGTGAAGTATTTTTAAGATTTTTATTTATTTATTTATTTTTGCATATAAATATCTGCTAAATAAAATTGTTTCAATAACTAGTGCTACAAAAAGATCAATATTTTAATTAAAATGTCAGTGATAGGGGGGAAAAATATAAATTATTTATAAACATTCATAAAGAGCTTTCTATAATATAAATTAAACATAAATCATTTAATTTTCAATTTATTCAAAATTGTAATACATTCTTAAAATATATTTGATTTTTATCAATGTGCTGAAAAAGTCTAAAGCACTGATAAATTTTACTGAAATTGATAATCCTTTTTCTTGTATATTTCATAAAAAAATTGAGAATTTTGTTTGCCACAAAAATGGAGAATATTTTTATATTAAAAAGACATAACATGTTCAATATTGCATCAAACAAATTAAAATTAAACAAGAATTATTTTAATTTTATGTTCTTTTTATAGCAGTTTTTGAGATAAAAAATATTTAGTACCTTCAATATTAGTTTATTAGTGTCAATATAAATACAGTTTTTTAGCTGATAGTAATTATGCTGTGCATAACATTTTGTGGAAAATTTACCTTTTTAATAAACATTATCTAGACACAAGATCATGTACGCTTGTATGAATTTTGTCTATTTTTGTATCTAAATTACACAAGTGTATGTAACATTTTTTTTCTTGTGTAATTTGGAATGTTTACCTGTTTTGTAATATCATACATGTCTTCCTCTTTTTGTACAAATTTCTTTATGAAAGGCAGCAAACAGGATAATGTATCTATGCTATACAAGAGCTTAATATTAAATAAATTTATTGAATGAGTATTTGTGTCCACATGCAGTTGTTTGATTTTCTTGCAAATATATTTTGAGATTTAAAAGGTATACAAAACTTTTATTTCATAATTTATGTATTTTGTAGAATGGAAAGAAGATCCCGTGTCATTTCATCCCCAATTAACTTCAGCCATATTGCTCATATGGGGCCTGACCAAGGGCTTCAGGCATTGATAGATCTTCCAAAAGGTTCTAGACCTATGGTAAGTTGATTCCTAAATTATTTTCCTTCTTGTTCAAGAGTTTTGAAATTACCTTTTCTTTTTTTTTCTTTTTTTTCCTAATGATCTCAAGTTTCATCAATTCAAGATTCTTTGTACTCTTTCTCTAATATTAATACAGCAAATATATTGTGAAATCTTAAACTATTCCTGTACATTTTTTGCATTTAAACAATTTAGCACAAAATACTTTGAAAGCAGATGCATCTTTTCTCACAGTATATTTTTGCTTGTCCTTTTAATATTTAAAAAAAAGATATTTCAAGATATTGACTCTTAAAATAAAAAATGTCATTTATATTAAATAAGGCCACAATGTAAAATAAATATGCTACTGCATAAGCCCTGACATAATAAAATAAAGAAAAATTAATAAAACAAAATACATGTTGCTGTTCAATACATTTGCTTAAAAAAATTGCTTTTTGAGAAATCCTTTTTCTGTATTAGCCTGGTGTTGGGACTGATGAACAACTTCAGAAAGTTCGCAATTTAATGCAACCAAGCATGAAACAATTACAAGAAGCTCAAATGAGAGGTGCTACTAGCAGACCAAGCATGTCTAGTGATTCACAATATAATGGTAAGTATTAGGAATTGGATATTTTCCTTTTAGGAATTTGATTAGGATTGAGTTAATTATTAAATAGTACAAAAATGCATCCAGGTATAATATTATTATGGTAGGGTAATTAATATTGGGATATTTACATAACATATAAATCCATTGTCTCTATTATTAGCTATATTGTGTTTCATTGCTATAGCATTTACAAACCTATTAATAGTGTCTAAACAAATAATTCAATTAGTAAATATTTCTTTTTAATTTCCTTTAATTATCAGATTAAAATATTGACAAACCCAGATACTATTTAACAAATACTTAAAAATTACATTCTTTTTATCTGAAAAAATAATGAACAAATTCTTTTATCTCCAATATGATGATTTAGCTAAGGATATAATCATTTTGCCTTTAGAGGTTTAACTATAAAAAACAATTTGCTTGTCTATATTTTTTTTTTTTTTTTACTTTTCTCATTGAATAACAAAGGAAATGCTGTGAAGCAGAGAGAATCTCCACGTCGTGGTTGGCAGTCAGGTGGTGCTCAGAGACCCTTGTCTTCCATTACATCTGTATCTCCTGCAGGAAGCTGCTCTAGTTCTTTCCAAGACCCAGCAAACCCAACAGATTCAACTACTACATCTAAAATATTTGAGGTATGTTGCTATAAAACTGAGTCTAAAAATGAACAATTTATGATAATAGTCATTAATATATGACTAAATGTTAGAATGTTTAAATAGTTTTATTTTTGTGATAGGACAATGTTTTCTTGTATTAAACACAAGTAATATCATAGTTTTATATAAACTCATGGCAAATGTACAGGTTAAAGCATATTTGATTGTTATTAGGCAAAAGATCAGAATTAGATTGGAACCTCTTTTGTATGAAAATTATATTCAGACATTATTTTAAAAGTTAAACTCTGTTATAATTATTTAATTATTCTGGTAATTTCTCGATGTCACAAATGAAAAAAAGGAATGAGATTTTTTTTAATGCCAACAGAAATGTAAAAATATTGTATAATCTTCTATATGCTTTTTGAGTGAGTCATACTAAGGACTTGAAAGTTTTGGCAGTTACTTAACATGTATCTGTTGAATTTGTAAACTTCAAACTGGCACTAGTTGCTTAATATATAAAGATGTGATATATAAGTAAGCAAAAATATCTGACAAAGTATGTAAAAACGGAATATATGAAAATCAGTTGTATATTGAAAGATTTTAGTTTTAACTTTATATAAGCATTATCAAAACAAGTGAAAATTCAAAGGAAAAGTTATGCCAACCTCCTTATGCAGTTATTTTCAAATTTTCTATTCATCATCAGAGCTGTTTCAGTGTGATTTCTTTCTTCAGCAACTTTTATAACTATCTTTTATCAGTTGTCTCCAAACGTTCATCAGTCATCTCCAAGTGTTCATGTCCTTTAAGTGCTGCAGGTCCTCTAAGCTAGTCAAAGTTTTTATAAGGAATGATGGAATTTTCGATCTCCTTATTCAATGTTGTAGCTATTCAATTTTTTTTTTTTTTTTTTTTTTTTTAGTTCTTTAACATTAAATGTCCCAATGGCAAAACCATTAAATACAATTGAAGGCATTTACAAAGTTTTAAATAAGAAATTGCCAACTTTCAACTGCGGGCAACCAGATCAGTCATTAACTTATCCTTCAAAATATTCTTAGAATGTTTCAATTTTGATGTTTGACATACATGGTAAACAACATCTCCAATAGTTTTCATTTGTTTTGACATTTGCTTAGAGAAATTAACACAAAACATTAATATTAAAATGAAAAACAAATTTCAGCATCCAACTGGTTTACATATATTCCATTTTTACATATGTGGCAATTTTGTATATATTTATTTGGGATATAGATTCTGAAGAATAACTGGCTTTTTTAGTAATTCATTATTACTGGTCTTTTCTGAATTGGAAGAAAATTTTACAGATACTCAAATTTATTTTACATAAAATTCTATAAACCTCTTTTTTCCTCCTAAAAATCATTTTTTATCAGTACTTTCCACCTTGTTTTATATAAATTTGTAATTTTTTTAACTATAACCAAAGTATCTTAAAATCACCATTAAATTATTATGTAAGAATACATAATAATTTAATGGTGATTTTAAAATAATTTGGATATAGTTAAAATATATATATATATATATATATATAAAATTAAGCATAATAAAACAATGTTTTTTTTTTTATTGTTTTTACCCATGCAAATATTTTAAAATTTCAGTAAGATTTTAAATTACAATTCACCTTACTAAAATGATGTAAAGAAAATAAAGTAGTTCTTAAAATTTAAAAATTGGTACAAAAAGATGATTTCACTTCCAAATCTTAAATTTCTTTGAGAAATGATTTTCATAAAATTTAGGTTCAACAAAATTTTATTTCAGCTAATGTTCTACTTTTTCTTTATAGAGTTTTCATTTATAATTTTTCCATATAGACAGTTTTAAGATATGCTAAAGCCGTTTTGTTGATATGGAACTGCGTGTGCATATATATATATATATATATAGCAGTAGTGTTTTCCCCATATTCTTTTGTATTATACTTTTAATTTTCTCAAAGCTGTTCCTTTTATTCTCTATGTTCAACCTTAAAAGCAAATATTGTTTGCTATGCATGTTATCAGGTAAAAATTCTTATGAAAAAGTTTATAAATACATGCACTTTATCACTCACATTATATTCATTAGAACTTATCAAATCTTATGAATTCTAATAGCTTGTTCATATTAGAATTATTTAAATTAGCAGTTCACTGTTGTATAAAACATCAGACAAAATTTCCTTTATATGGTTTTTGTTCTTAAAGTTCTTTTTAAACTCTCATTTTTGCTTCCCTCTTGTGTGATGTACTTGCATGATATCTATTTTCACCTTCATCAACAAATTGGAATGAAACTTCCGTTTTGTCACTCTTAGTAATACCTATTTAATACAAACATAATAGGTACCTTTTTATGTAGTCTCATGAGGTGGAGCTTCAGACAAAAATATAAATGTAGAGGTGGCAATTCAAGCTAGCATATTGAAAATTTTTGAGGACATCTGCAGGAAAAATGAAAAAGTAAGTTTTTCATTGTTCCATCAAATTTGCATGTGTTTTTGTCAAATTTGTTATGCAATAAAACTGTTTTGTTCTAATTTACATAAATTAACTGAATAAAAGTATAACTGATTGAAGTTAATTTTTTTTTTTTTTTTAAATCATTTCACCCGAAACAAGATGTTAATGCCACTAAGATGCAAGAAGTGACTGAGAATGAAAGAAAATGTTAGAGAGGAAAAAAAACGTTAAAAAAACAGGAATTTAGAAAGAAGGATGATAGCAATTGATATTGCACTTAAATTTTTGAACATCATAGTTGACAGGAAAACAAGAAGCCAGAAGAATTCTGCAGGCAAGAAGAGAAATTGTTAGAATAGAACTTATATCTACATCTAGCAATTTTGAAAGTAAAATGAAGAGACCTAGTTGCCAGCCTACTACTATGCTTAAATTTAAGAGATCAAGTTATTAAAGATAACAATTGTCATGAAAATATTTATAAAAAAGGCAGGGAAGCTATGTTACAGTCGTGGGGAAACTGACTGAAGCTGAGATGCCAGGTCAGGACTAATATTACAGACCCTTCATTGGATTTTGTTCAAAACCTGGAGATACATTTAGTAGGAACACCAGATAACATCTGGCAGCAATATTCAGTGAACAGGTGAATAGTATATTTATAAACATGCAAGATGGTTTCTGGTGAGAAAATTTGTCTGGCACAACACAGTAAACCAACATTTTTAGCAGCAGACCTAGCAATTTATTCAATATAATCATTCCGTTTCATGTCAGTAGAAACGTGAGACCAAGAAGGTGCAATGAGTTGCTCTCCCAGAGGTTGGCATCAGCCATGCTGATGAAAGGCAAAAATGATTCTCTAAAATTACTAAAAGACAGCAGTTTCATTTTGGAGACATTATAATTAATGAGCCATTTCTTGCTCCAGTTAACAGATTCAAGAAGATCTGCTACCAAATTTACTTGATTGAACTTATCAGGCTTACTATTAAGACAGGAGTAGATTAGTTGTCATCAGTATAGATACTGTGTTGGTAACAGATAGCATTGGGAAAGGTCATTAATGAAGATAAGAAACACAGTAACTGACGATAGAACTTGCTTTAATGTGAAAAGAACTACAAGTTTGATTGTTCAACATAATTTTCATTACACAATTTGTAAAAGATTAAATTAAATAAAAAAAAAAAAAAAAAAAAAAAACCATCATGTCAAACCATGTCAAATACTGTTGAGATAATGTCTAAAGCCATAACCCAAACTTCAGTTCTTATCTAAAGCTGGACAGGCTATTTTAGCAGTAACCATTAATAAATTGAAGAGCAAAAGTAAAAATCATATTACTTGTCTGAAAGAAGGCCATGTGAAATGAGATGCTTAACCAATTTAGAACTTTGGCAAAAAGAAGTAGAAAACTAATGGGTCAGTAATTCAAAAGATTAGATGGCCCACCTGAGATTTAAAAAACAGGAACTACACAAGAGGATTTCCAACAAGCTGGTAAGTGAAAAGCAGCAAGGCATTTGTTGTTGAATTTTGAGAGAACAAGATTCACTTCAGGAGCACATTTTTTAGGACTATTGCAGGGATCCCATCAAGCTTTGTGTTTATCTAATTTGGAGATGGGATCTAGTTTCTTGTTTTCTATCTTCAAGATATTGTCTCTGATAGATTTCAACTTCCTGTGATTTTCTAACTCTTTCATCTGTTTTATTTTTTCACTCATTAATTTTGTAGCATTGAAGTTTCACTATAAGCTGGGCCATTGGATTTAATAAGATTTGAAATACAAATTGAATCATAATAATTGACCTTTGTACTTAATAACTAATGTGTAAATTTTTCTGGACTATGAAAATCATATATTGGGTTTAATAATTGTGAAAGGTGCTGGTGGTTGCATTTTTTAACTCTTATCTAAATTTGTTGGGAATAGGGGATGATAAACTACAATGTTCTATTTTAGATGTTTTTTTCTTTTTTATCAGATATAAAGTTGTAAATATTCCAATTGTTACATCAGGTTTCATGAATATGACTGAACTTGTTTATCATCTTGGAAAATAAGTCTTTTTACTTAGTTAAATACTTTTTCATTTTTGTATTCCTCTTTTTCATAACTTTACAAAACTAGTTTACATGTTCATTAATTACATATTTAAATCTGGTTCCTCAAGAATATATTACTATTATTGCAAGTTTCTATTAATATTATAACATTAATCTGATTACATAGTCATATAGATTATTATTAAAAACAAAAAAAATTAATTTTATTATTGTAGATTTTAATTGAAATAATAATCTTGGTCTGTTGGTGGTTCTGTTTGAACTAGGTACTACTTCAATATGTTCTATCATTCAATAATTATTGTATAACATAGTCTTTGGAAAAATTTGAATTTTTTTTTTTTTTTCTACACTTGCTTGGGTGAAGTCCTAAGTCTTAGAGGATTAAGAGGTTCTTATACAATGACACTCGAATTTTAATCTAATTACTTTCTCGTTGAAAATGGATTTTTTTAACGTTCTGCAGATGAAACAATGCCGAGGGTCACGTAGCGGGGTCAGTGGAACTCCTCTTGGGAGTATTGGATCTCTTTCCACATGTGAAAGTTCCTGGCACAACTGAAGGGTCAGCTTGCACCTATGTTTGTTTCTTTGTCTCACTGTTTCTTGTTTCATTGCATGAGTTGCCAAATTCTCTTGATTCTTTCCCCTCCCTGTCCCAGGTTTTATAAACTTTTTTTTCTTTCATATTAAAAGAAACTATATACATTTTTAACATTCATCAGTCTATTTGGACTGTAATCATTTTATAAGCAGTTTCAATTTCACTGTATTTGATCATTTTGGAATAGTGTCACTATTTCTATCTTTGTTCTTTTTTAGACATAATTTGTAGTTTGCATGTTTTCAGGTGATATTGAATGGGTTTGCAAAATTTTTGCAACAAAAATATTTTTGAAGAGCAAAGATGAAAGTATTAGTTTTCCAAAATCACAGGATTATTCCATTTTAATACTTGCTGATTATTCAAAAATTGTATGGATTTTAATATGAATAAATTGTACAATGACAACAATTCTGCTAATATCTACTGATAATGGGTTCTAAAAATCCATTAGTTTAATTTTTTATTAAATTACTTTAGCACATGAATTCAGTAACAAAATTTGTGTTTAGTTGAAGATACAAGTCCAAATAACTTAATGAATGCCAATAACTTTTCTTTTTTTTCTCTCTTTTTGACCCATTTTATTTGAATTATTGGATTTTTGGTTATCCATCTTTTCCTCAGCTTTCTTCCATTTTGCTTGAGCTGGAATTGATTTTCTTTTTAATACCTTAAATGATTCCTTTCCTCAGATAGTGCTGTGGTCTAATTTTCCTTTTAATTTGCCTTGAGGATGACATCCATTTTTCTTTTAACTACAAGTTACTTTGAACCATTTTAATCCATATTATGGCTTTATTCTGTCCAGATTTTTTACACACAATTTATGCACTTTTCACATCTTTTTGCTACCTTTATTTGAATGTCTCTTTATATTATTGCTAAAATGAATGACTTGTTCCCTCTCCTTACAATCTAGGTTTTATTGGTGCTTCTGAAAAAGTTGAAAAGATCATCTTATTTATTATTTGCTTGTTAAATCTTTTCTCTTTACAGTTTTTAAAATCCATGCACATTTTTTTAACCATAACACTATTCTTCTTAGTGTTCCTAGCAAAAATATCTTCAACTGCAGTCTATTCAAAATTTATTGTAGATGAATTTTTTTTACCATATTTTAATTTTATATACATAGATTTTTATATAAAATTTGATTTGTTTCTACCTGCATTAATATGCTGTATATTTTAAAAAAAAACAATCTGGTTTATGTTGGTGTTTAATTAAACTTTTACTCCCAAGTAAATGAAAAATTTATTTCTAAAATTTAAAAGCTATTTTCTTTTTATTATATTTTATTCATAAGAACATCTTATTCTTGTATGAACTGATTTTTATATCAGCTTTTAACTTTTATTTTCACAAAATGTTTAACTTTGCTTCATGTAAGATATGTTCTTTTTTAATTTATTTTAAAAGTAAAATATTAAATGGGATATTTATTATCAAAGATTCAATTTTGAAAATAGTTTAAGCAGCTAACCAGTTTCACATTTAAAATTTAATCTAACATTTCTCTAAATTTGATTTGTTAATTCTTTAGTTTACAATTAAAAATTCAAATAGTTACATAATCTACTCAGTTTAAAATATAAATTTATCTAAAGTATGTATTGAAACTGTCTGCTGCTGCTGTCACCATCATTGCTCCCCACTCACCCCCCCAAATACCTGCATGACCAATGAAAGGTAAAAATAACATTTTTATGCTTATTGTATTAAATATGAATATTTCCTCATTTTCAGCAACATCACATTTTTTTTCTAATATTTCAGCTACTGAAGATCTTTATATTTATCAAAGTGAAAAAAAAAATTAAAGATTATGTATTTATCCAGCCACCTCACACTTCACATCTGTTTCTTTGTTTCAACTTCTGTTTATGAATTTGGTTTCTTTTTCCAATCATATTGTCCTATCATTTTTTCACTTTCTATTATAATTTAATATGTATGCAACTGTAAAAGACACTCTCATGTTTTCATGGTTATTTTCCATTGATAAATTCCTGATAAATTTTGTAATTACAACTGAAACAGTTATAAAAGGTAAATTTGACCTGTATTAAAGGAATACACATTTTAAAATTTCTGAAATTTCCTTTTATTTTTATTATTTTTTTAAATATTTTTTCTAGGATTCAGGATTAGACACTGGCTGGAGATTATCAACTGGATCGAACAATAGTAGCAGTTACAGCAGTCCACCTGGATCTAGCCGACACAGTTTGGTTGAGGAGAGGGACCAAACCACAGACAATTCAGAGCAAGAAACTGATTGGTCCAAGCCATAGCTTAAAAAGCAGCAGCAACAGCTGCTTTCAAATAATTGCATATTGAGTGCTATGTGACACACAGACAAACCAATGGCTACCTTGCTAATGTCTTTAAAAAAGAAGAAAATAAAAAAAAATGAAATGAAAAACTAAAAATAACAAAAAATCTATCCCGAATCCTTTCCTCTCCGTTCACAAAATTTTGAGCATTATTTAGCCACAACTAAGTACCTTCTTTCCACCAACTTTCTCTCATCTCATTCATATTGATATGTTAAATTTTTGAGAGGGGGAGGATTTTTTCCTCTTGTATATCTCTCACACATAACTTAAGATTGCCTTCCTTCAAGTTAGTGTTAATTTTTATTTTCAATTCTTGTTGTTTAACTCCTCTCCATGTGTGTGAGTGTATATTATTTTATTCTCCTCTCCTGCTCTCACTTTTTTTATAAAATCATTAAATTGACTAATTAACCTTTGACCTACTCAGTTAATTTCTTGCTCTTTGTACACACACTCCAAAATTCATAAAAAAACAAACATCTTCAGTTGCCATACAATGTCTGTTGCTTAAGTTAGTAGAATTTATTATATAAGGATTAGTTGATTAATAATGGTCAGTCAAAGAGTGAAGTAAATTTCCCACCATCTCTCTTCACTTAAATCTTTTAAGAATAAAAAACAATTGTCAAGTCTTATATCTGCCATATGCATATACCTTTGTACTTGAAAGGTATTTTTCTACTTCATTATTTGAATAAGCTAACAGTATTACCAAAAACTGGTTTGCTGGTTAATGATGCATAAATTTTTTTTCTTTTTAATTTTTGTTAAATTATTAATTCAGCTTATATTTAGTTCTTTGTTTTGATGAAGTTCATTAAAATTTAATCTCTATTCAACATTTTCCTCTTTATCCTTACCAAACCTTTGACATTATTTTATACATAAAATTTTTAGACTTAATTTTATTTAGATTATTCAGAATATTTATCATTAAATATAAAGTCTTTTATCTGTTATGGGATGTAGTGGCAATACTTGTATTTATCATTTTGCCCCAAGTAAGGCAATAAAGCCACTAAGATAAAGGGGTTACTGAGTGTGACAATATGAGAAAAAGAAAACATTAAGGAGAGAGAACAATAAAAAAAAAAAAACAGCAATTAATATAACAATTGATATTGCATTTAAATTTTTGAAAATCAATGTTGACTTGAAAGCAAGAAGCTGGAAGAGAGTTCCACAAGCAAGAACTGTGAGAAGAAACATCTAGATATTTTAATTATAAAAAAAAAGAAACCTTGCCACCAATCTAGTACTGTGCTTAAATTCATAAGTCTAGGTACCATCAGAACAATTACCATGAAAGTATTTACAGAAAAGGCACAGGTAAGCTATGTTACAATGGTAGGAAAAATGACTGAAGCCAAGATGCCAGGTCAGGATCATTAACTTGCAGATTTTTTGTAGTTTATCAAGAATCTCTAAATACATAATAGAATCACCAGACTAGATGTGGCAGCAATATTCAATACCTGTTTGAATGGTAGACTTATAAATGTGTAAGATAGTTTCTGGCAAAAAAAGATTGTCTAGCATGATACACTGAACCAACTTTCCTAGCAGCAGACCTAGCAATTGATTCAGTAGAATCTTTCCACTTCATGTTGGTGGAAAACATTAGCCAAAGAAAGTGCAATGAGTCACTCTCCTGCAGGTTAGGCATAAAAGGTTCTCTCAGATGATTAAAAGAGAGCAGTTATGTTTTGAAGGCATTGAGATTAACAAACTATTTCTTGCTCCACTTAAGAACAGATTGTGGGTCATTTTTGAGATTGGCTACCAGTTTGACTTTATTGAACTGCTTAGACTTAAGAGAGGAGTAAATAATTGTCATCAACATAGATAATTTGTGGTGAGGAAAAAGAAAAAAATATTGTAAGTCTTCTACCAACAAAAAAGGCTTTCCATGTATATTATGAAAATGATGTGCAATTCTCATCTGGATGTGGAGAGATTAAATGCATGCATCTTCAAAAGATTAAGCAGAAAATGATAACTCTTTGAGATAATTTGTTAAACCTTTAAGTGCAATGTAATTATTTTCTATTTATAACCAAACTTAAAAATAACAATGTCTACTGTCCGTCCATAATAGTTTGAATGGTTAAGCTCATAATGAAATATTGTAGTTTTGATCAATTTTTTCTTTTTTTACTTTTGTTAGTACCAGCTTAATACCAATATTGTTTTCTTATAGAGCCATCCATATCCTTTTGTGTGCCTAGGTGGTTAGCATCTTGACAGTAGATATTAATTTAATAAAAATGTCATTTGCTGCTCTTTCAAGTAATTTATTGCTTACAAGATGCCATATTTGGCTTTAAGTACCGTCCATGCCAGAAATTGAGTGATATTTTTGAACTAACTAGAACTGCCCATTTCTCTTCTGTGTGTGTGTGTTTATTAGTATCTCTTTCTTTTTCTTATAGAGATTTTATCACCTCCCCATTTTTCAAACTTCATTTTATGACACTGTGTTTTCCAAAAGTTTTACATTCATACAGATTTCAATTCCTCTCCAAAATGGGGTAACAAGTAAAGAAGCAATTACCATTCATTTAGGAGAGTGGTGGCAGACTCCAAAAGTAGCCTATCTCTGCTTACCTTGATGTCAAAAATCAATGTCTATCTGCTGAGTAGTAGGTTTGAAATATGACTGCTTAGCTTCATACATTTTTCTTTCTTATAGTTCTTCTTTGTAAGCACTGAAAACATCCTGCAAAATAATCATAGCTAAAATCTCAAATTTATTTTCTGGGTATGGCAGTGTTAAAAAAAGAAATGTTATGTTTATGGCAATTTGCTTCTTTACTTATAAGATCTTTAATAAAAATTATGAATTAGGTAAAAAATCTTAAAATAAGTAGGTTTCCAAACCTAAGAAATACTGATTGAGTTATTATAGAATAGGACTTTGTAAACAGTTTAATATTATGAATAATAGTAAACTAGAAACTATCCAGATGGCAGCATTGTTGAAAGCAACTAAAAGAAAAAAAATAGAGAAAACTGCTAGAATATTAAGGAAACATACTGAAATTATCTCTCATATAAGCTACCAGAGAACTACTGATGAAAATACTTGATGACAATAATGCACTCTAGAAATTTCTATTCTTTATTCAATTTCTTAAAGTTAAGTGTAGATGTTAATATTTTTATGATATTTATTTTCATTTTTCTCATTATCAAAATCCTTACCTTAGAATTTAGTTTGTTAGATTTTCATCAGCTTCTCTGATTGCATTAAACAATTTTGAGTTAATCAAATTAGTCACCTTTTTTGAGTTACACCTAAGTTTTCATCAATCTACAAAATCTGACTATGTAGAAAACTTCACAATAAAGATTCTATGTTGGTAGTGTGTGCACATGCAGTGTGGGTATTTCCTTGTATTAACATAATCTTAATAAATGTCATATAAAAATGAGGGTCAGCATTTAATACTTGATAGTTGGGAATTGGATCATTGTTATTTAACATTTGTTGTAAAAGCATTGTTAAAACTCTTAAACCAATTTCAGTTGATGTTTTTTGAAAAATTAACATTTTCAATCTGACATTGCACTGGGTAACCTCCAAAAAGGGTTGGTTTTTATCTAACGAAGCTTTTGTATTTAGATCATTTGTATATCTATTTCTATCTCATTGACTATTTAGAAGTTTTGGTTTTTTTTAATCTTGCTATAAAATTTCTCTTTAGCCTGATTTTCTTTTTGTTGCTTGTCTCTCTAAAAAGAATGATTTTCTAGTAAAATAAACTTTGATTTTCTTATTTTATTTGATTGTATCAAATTTTAAATTAGGCTTGTACAGTTCAAACTGATAAACCAGAAGATTTTTTTTTGTCCTGATCACTAATACAGATTTTGTCATTATTTCTATCAACAAAGTTTGTTTTTAGTTTAAAGATTTCTATATTTATATTGTTTGGTTTTTACAATCAATCTCATTTAATTCTGCCTCTCCCTTTGCCCTCTTCTGTCCCCCCCTCTTCTGTCCCCTCTTCTGTCCCCCTCTCTCTCTTCTGTCCCCCTCTCTCTCTTCTGTCCCCCTCTCTCTCTTCTGTCCCCCTCTCTCTCTTCCCCCCCTCTCTTCTGTCCCCCTCTCTTCTGTCCCCCTTCTGTCCCCCCTCTCTTCTGTCCCCCCCTGTCCCCCTCTCTCTTCTGTCCCCTCTCCTGTCCCCCTCTCTCTTCTGTCCCCTCTCCTGTCCCCCTCTCTGTGTGTCCCTCCTATCCCCCTTTGTGTGTCCCCTCTCTCTCTCTCTCTCTCTCTCTCTCTCTCTCTGCGCTTCCATCCATTCTCTCTCTGCAAAGACTTCTGAAATAGTTTTAGTTGTGTGGTAATTAATGCCTTAATATTTTCAAATAAGTGATATTTTTTTTTCATTTTCTGTTGTTGAACATATAAGAGGCTTTTTAATTAATATTTCCTTTGTCCCATAATAGTTGTTCATTTGCATATATACTTCATATAAGAAATGTAAAATTATTTAGAGGACAGAGGTACTACAGTTTCAGTCAGATTGAATTTATTTCATAATGGTGACTGAATATGTTTGTTTTACTTTCTCTCTCTCTCTCTCATATATTCTCTTTTCTTATTCTACATTACTAACAAACAAAAACTGTTGAATTTGCTTAGAAAATTACTAATGTACACAAGTACGTACATATATTTGCAATATAGTGTATGTGTGTAGATGTATATGCAACTGCTGGAAACTCCCGACATTTTATTACATTCTCTAACTATCCCCACTTGCTTTCCACCTACATTAAAAAAAAAAAAAAAAAATGTAAAATAAAATCACATTTAATTTTTTATAATTACCCAAGCCAAAAAAAAAAATGGTTAAAGAGAGTGGTGGGTAGAGAGTGTTTCTAAAATATTTTAATCTTAAAACTTAAGTTTAAATGTTTATCATGGATTAAACACCATGATTCATATT